AGTGCTGGAGGTGGAAGCAGCATTGATTTGAACTCTGTTAGGTCTTTATCTGTTTGGATTGTACACCAAAGACATGACTTAAAAGCTTAACTAGGCTCACTGAACTCGTAGCATTGTACTAGTCTGAGGTAGCAGGCCACTGTGAAGTTAATGTGAACTAATAGTATTGTAAATATTATTCATTGATGAGATGGTCTGTTTTGCCTTTGAGTATGGAATTGGATTTTGAATTATCTAAAGTTTCAAAGTTGCGCTACTGACTTGATCATCACAGTTAGGCAAGCTGTACATCTAAATGCTTTTGTCACAATACAATTTGATTATTGTCAGATAATGTTTCTGCTTGTCTAAATAGACTTCCCAGTTCCTCCAACACCTCCAGTGAGTATAGCATCTTTCTATAAATCCATTCAAATTAAATCCTGGTAAACTTAATTTTCATTTAAAATGGGGTTGGGTTCAAAAATATGACTCTTTGAAATGCAAGATGCCAGAAAGCTGCATAGTAAATGGTATAGGCTTTAACCGGGCCTGTGACCTCCTATCTTAAATTAGATTCCAGTAGTTATTTTTGGTGAAGTGGCTTGAATATAGCTCTGTCTTACAGTGGAACAATATTTCCCTCATTGCTCTATTCACCTCTTGTATCAGTGTCAGTGGACCTGGTCCCAAACTGATGCTGTTATTCTGTGAAGGCAAAATTTGCCAAGTGTTGAACTTCTTCCCCTGTACCCCTCCAATGCACGCCCCCATCCCACCTCACGCATTTCTTGGATGATGTGTCCAAGATGGCGAACTCTTAGAGTGTAGTTTGAATACTTTACTGTTAAGCTTTTTGTTTTCTTCTCTTTGAAATTTAAGTATGTAGGGGATTGTCCCATCCAATCAAATAAGGCTGTGAGTGAGGCTCTACAACAAACAATCCTTTAATATCGGCCTCTAATTTTCTGTTGGGGAAACAGAATTAGCACAAACAGCCCTTCCTTTTATTAGTTTTATGGCATGGAACAGTTGTGACTGTGCAGTGGAAGCCAGCATACCTTCTGAGACCAGTCCATCCTTTTAAAGTTTACTGAACCTATACTGATGATATCTGACCTTGCAAGCTTTGTCCAGTATTTATGGAGATTTGAGTGTCTGAGCCACTTAACCACTAAAATCTGAAGCCTGTCTTATTTCTGTCTCTTCCAAACTAGTTCCCTTTTATTTCAATACTTGTGATTTTCATTGAAGAATTTTGCTCAGGGATTTTGTTCCCTCTTTACCCTCACTACCCTCACTACCCTTTTTGGAGTTATCCTATCTGATTAGTATAAAGCTTTGAATTGCATTTGTGGTGTCAGCAGGTTTTGCAACATTACTAATGAACCTTTCTTGGTATGGTGTTAAGAAAACCTAGGGCAAGATTATTTTTATTCCAAGAATGACTTTAACCTCGGTCTTTTGTGCTGTGATGCACAACAAAAAAAATCCTAGGTTCACCACAGTTTACAGTTCCTGGAAATAGTTTACAGAAATTGATGTCTGCTATATTACCCTGATGGTAACAGACTCCAGCTAAATATTCTAAACTGGAATGTGGGCGTACTTTGGGATGTTTGTGTCATCTTGACTGATGCTGCCTGATCTAGTTGATGCTCTGTTGTTTTATATTTGCACTGGAGATTGTGTGTGGTCCTGCACCTTGTGGCACAGCGGATTGAACTTGTCCTTTATTTTATTGAGAGTCACAGATTAGTGGAGTTACACACTAATGCACCGTGAGAAAAGCAAGGACTCTTATTACTCAGTAGAGCATGAAAGAAAGAAAAGCCAAAGGATTTGTAGCAGCGGCTCAGTTAGCATTTCTTTTCATCCAGAAGGTGCAGACTATGTATTTTACCAATGACTCCCAGAAGTTTGAAATAACCAAATTTTTAATCTCAAATTCTGGATGTATTAATTTAATGTATTCCTCTGATCAAACCATGTACTGCAGACTGAAATCAGCGACAGAGATCTAATGGATACTGAGAGGTATAGCATTCTGAATACGCAAGTCTCATGCACATAACAGTTAGTTCTCAAGTCTTCTTTCAATAATATTTTGTTACTAATGAAGTCATTGTTACCTGGTGGGGTAGTGTTTAACCCCAATGCACACTGCTGTAGAGTTGAGTTGTGGGTTGAGTCTGTGATTTCCCCAGTTTATGTTGGAGATCCAAGAGAAGTTAATTGTTTCTCTGAAAGGTGCAAGCAAATGCTGAGAAGTAATTCTTGACATTGCCACTAATTGTTTGTGTGCCACAATACCCCCCAGTCGTATTGTGGTAATTAAGTTAGGTATTGATGTTTATGTGACGCTTACCAGGTATCTTGATTGCAGTAAGAATTGCACTTTGAGTTCAACTGAGAAATGTCTTCAGTAATTCAGAAGGCTGTATAGAACCTCAGGAGCACAATGTGGGGGCTGGGGAGAGCAGGGAGTTTCCCTACTCTCCTCGTCCATATTTATCCTTGAATTAACATCACCAAAAAACAACTCTTATTTATTACAGGTTGGATCTCGCTATGTTTGCCTAGATATAAACACTGATTAAGACCTAATCCTTTGAAGTCCAATCTGTTAACTTTAATTATTGAGGAATTTGATGTTTTTTTCATGCTGCCAGTGGCTTTGTAATTAACAGGAGCCAACTTTAGCCTTCATTGATATTATTCTGGGAATTCTTGGTAGTGAGGAAGCATATACGAATGTGAGTTTTCTTTCTCATAAAATTAAAGTGTAGATTTTGATTTCAAAATTTATGATGGATACACGACAAGTATCTGAAGATGTCCAGAGATTTCAGTAGCTCAGTGTTTGTTTTATAGAGTATAGCAGAATGTTAGAAGATGTTTTGTACTTAATATTGCTTGGGGGAGTTACGTTTTGAAGGATTGTGGAAAGAAAAAATCATTAAGTTTTGTGATCAGACCTGGAGTTGTTTCTTTAAAAGAGGTCATTGAAAGTTGACTGTGGACATTGGAGATTTTTTTTAACAAGGATGTTTTAGAAATTTCTGAGAACTCACATGACTGGTGATAACAGTTGCTTTGCTGAAGACTCTGCTGGGACTGATTTGATTAGGACGAGGAGAAGTTTTGATTTTATCTGGTTCAGTTCCAGCGAAGCCTGAGAGCCAACAGAGTTGGACGAAAGCTTGCTAATAATCCACTGCACGTTTTGAAAAGAAAACCCTCTACATTATTTCAAGGTGAAACTATTTGTTCTTTTGAAAGATTAATTGAAGGGACACCTCAAGAATGCATTTCGTGAACAAGACTTCAGAGACAACTGTGCATGGCCAGTGGCTTCACCACACATGCCAGAACGGGGGAGCAAGAGCCAAGAACATTCTCCACACTACCCCTTTGCCTTCAACAACAACCCACTGGCCAAAGTGTTTTTTTTCAGAAAGCCAATCCTCTGCAAAGGAATTGTTTGTGTGTGTTTTTGAGATATTTAGAGGGATAAACATTTTGACTTTTATTTTACTAACTGAGGGTTAACCAGTTATTGCATCTTTATTGAATAAGTCACTGTTTTTATAAACCTGTAATTGTTTGTTAAGAAACCTGGTTGATTAATCTGGTTATTGACAATCTGATATAGTTAAGGTGTTTATTTGGTCATCCCATGTTGCAATTAATGGAGTAATGTGACCAGAGCAGCTGTGCACTCCTCCAACCTCAGTCATAACAAGAGACACCCTAAACTATAACTGGTTGCTGTATTTGAACATGTCACTGGTCCTGCTCCTCTGTCACTCTGAACTAAAGTGGCTCATTATAAAAGTTTGTGTGTATGTCTGAAGGCCATAAATTAACTT